AAGTAGGTATGAATCAAGATTGTCATGAATTGGGTTTGTAGATGGCTAAAAGTGTTTATACATGGCAATGGTTGCTACAACGTTCATGAGTACTCATAAGTTATGAGTATTGGAATAAACCCACGCTCACTTGTATCACTTCATGGAATTTATCTCGAGTGATCGTGAGACGGTAATATCATATAAGTCTTCAAACCTAGAGATATGAGTTGTTACCTATGAGTTGGTTGTGCATTGATTGCACGTAAATGCATCAGTAACTTGATGTTATAAAATGTGCCTTTGTGTACAATTCAACAAGTAGTAGAACAAGCATATGAGTCAAAGTTTATCTGTTCCTTCTAGAAATAGAAGCGATATCTGGGCCCCTTGATGATTTCGTGTTCACCCATGTACCGGGCCTGGTCAGAACTAAATTAATGTGTTCAGTTGAGTTCTTTGTCAAACAAACCGGAAATCGAGAAACAACTGCTAGACAATAAGCAAGACATAGTTCCATGTGTTTGTCCAGATGATATCATGAGAACAGAGGATTATATGATCACTTATCTCAAAATGGCGCTTCATAGTTCAACAGAGTTTTCGAGAGCTACGATTGCTGGTTGGTTCCTGAAGTAATATAGGAAAATATAGTTATTAGACTTATCCAAGTGGGAGTCTGTTGGATAAGGTGTCTAAGTCCATAACTTATTTGGTATATACTTGACCCGACCCGGCATGGTCCATTTGGGTTGCACTTCACCCGAACTATTTATGGATAATTTTATGAGAGTTATACACATATGATTATTAATATATTATAAGTTATAATATATTAATATGAAGTCATGTTATTTAATTAGTCTTAGTCTTAAATTAATTATGAATTAATTTAGAGATTAAAAGGAAGACTAATTAGATTGTGGGCTATTGGTTTTATATGGTGTGGGCTAACACTCATTTGTTAATGGGCTAGGCTTGTATGGAAGTCCATGGATGATCCATGGAGCTTTTAACCCATGGATCCTTGGAAAAGGAAAGGTCATGGGTTATTAGGGTTTCACCCTAATCATGTACACTATATAAGCATGCTTTTGTTGCATGAAATAGCCACTAGTGTATGTGTTTGTGTGTGGCCAAAATTATAGTGTGTATAAACTCTCTCAAAGTTTTCCAAGAGTTTGTGGTGATTTGTGATTCCATTTGAGGCATTCACACTATTGGTGCTTGGCCCTCAAATTTCCTTAAGAATCAAACTCATCAAAAAGGTATGTAATCTCATCTAATTCTTTTATGTTTAAAAGTACCCCATGCCATGTTAGATAGGTTATGAACCTTGGAAAATTATTATTTTGCATGTATTTAGACAAACATAGATCCAAGGTTTATTAGGGTTGCATGCACACTTAGGAAGTGTTAGATTGCTCAAAACCCAACAAAAACATCCAAGAAATACTACGAAACCTATGTTTGTTTATCACCATACACCTTTACTGCTCTGCTTCAATGCAGACTATGCAACTGCAAATGCAAAAAGTGACATTTTTATCCATTAATATCGACTAACTAACTACTGTGATGGACTTATTATTTGTTAAATGCATATTGATGCATCATATTATTTTTCCTATTCCAACATTGGCAAACTAAACCCACATAGGCATAGTTTGGATACTAACATCTAATTTCTATTAGAGACTAGTATAAACACACTCCTGCCACAAAATTGCTTGGTTGGGACTAAATGTATATATACATAAACAAAATGATAGCTAAAAATATTACATTCTCATGACTTGAAAAGGATCATGAAAACTCATTAGTATTAGTTATACTAGTACAACATTAGAATGTGCATTACCTGCCTTTAGTGCACATGTGATATTTTATAGGATCAAATAGAAAATCATGACTTTAATGGAAACTAAGACCAATTAACATGTAAAACAATTTATATGTAGCAATTCTTTGCTAATATGACTTTAAATTCTCCAACATATTCTAGGGTTCAATAAATGCACCTTGTGATGCCAACGATGAGTATTTCACTATTTTCCATCTTTTTTTATATTCTTAAATATTAAAAAGGTTTTAACAAAAATTCTTAAGAAAAATAAAAATTCTTACACGATGGATAGATACGGAAGTGTCAAATAGTGAAAGTAGAGCCAATTTCCCTCGTTGAAGGAATGATGATGAAAATTGAATCTACTCAAAGAATTTAAAATGATTTGCAAGATTTGTTTGTGTACGCATGACTCAAATATTAATTTAATACCTGTAGTGATAGAGTTAGACATATCTTTATGCAAAACTGTTTACCCTGAATATAACATGTGACATACCGGAAGGAACCACACATTGAATAGTTGGTAAAAACAAAAAAATTATTAAAATTTATATAAAAAAGCAATACACACATAAAAGTCTTTTTTCCTTCTTTAGAGATCCTTAATTGCTGTAAAATATGACAAATATGTTCCTATTATTCACGGTATTTATATTTGGTATTGTTATATTTGATGTTGTTCATGTTATATTTACATTAAAGAACTCACTAATAATCGCCATTAAAAAGCCTTTTAAGTGGTATTAATTAAATTAGGGGTTTCAAATGTATAAGAATTATGGAAAAATGTTTCATTTATAAGATACTAGACAAATATTCGTGCGTTGCGTGGAATTAAATTATACGGTTAAAATTTTGGTAATCATGTTATTGAAAATGTTTATGTCATTTTTATTAACTATAAAATGATAATAGTTACATTTAGTTGATGAAAAATTATAATTAATTTGAACAATAAATAATATAATACTTATTAAAATCAAATCATTTAATGGTCTCTGATCATGCTTTAGGTGTGTATAAATTTAGTTGTGGTAACTTAGTAAGACATATGAAAGATATGATAAATAAATTATTAACCCATATTTACGTTATCACACTCCTCCATGGCATGATATATAACCTTATATTTACATCAAGGGAGTGTTTAGGCATGGAACTCTTGTTAATGAAGGTTTCTTTCCAGAAAAAAAATAGTTATAGTACCCATTATTTTTATTAACTATTGTTATAATTTATTAAATTTTAAATTTTTTTGATGATATTTTAATTTCATCATGAATATTATCTAAATTATCAACCATTGGTTGTATTATAACATAATTTATTTTATAATTTCATGTTATTATTATTATTATTATTACTACTACTATTATAAATTAATTTAAAACCAACTTAATTGAATTTTAGATATTATATTTATCGTATTTAGTAATTTCATTTCAATTCTTTTAAAAAACATATGTTGATTTTTATTACTTTAGTCTTTAAACTTTACACTATATTTTTAAGTTTGTTTGATATATTACTTTAGGTTAAGGATCTAACATTATATTGAAGTCAACAAATTAGTATATCGCATTGATAATTCAAGAAGTCTTCAATTTGTGATAATATTTATAATTAACAACATATTTAAGTTAATAAATTAAATATATTATGTGAAAATGTGAAGAGTTAAGAGTTTCAAAATAATGTGGTAAAAGAAAAAATGTTTCATGGATTAATTAAATTATCAACCACTGTTTTTAAGGTGAAATAATTTAATTTATAACTTTATGTTATTTTTAATTATTATAAATTAATTTAAAAACAACTTAACTGAGTTTTAGTTATTATAGAAAATAGTCTTTGCACATCTTTTAGTTAATTTGACTTTTAGATTTAAGTTTAATATACCGATCGTATTTAATATTTTTCTTTTAACTATTTAAAAAAATGTACATAGAATTTTTAAAACTTTAGTTGATATTTTAGTTTAGGTTTTAATTTTTACACTATAATTTGAAGTTTATTTAATATATTAATATAGGTTATGTATTTAATACTATATTGAAGTTAATAAATTTAGTATATTATATTGATAATTCAAAAAGTCTTTCATTTATGATAGTGTTTATAACTAACAACATATTTAAGTTAATAAATTAAGTAAATTATATAAAAATATAAAGAGTTGGACATGGTGATTATAAATTAATTAAAAAACTACTTAATTGAGTTTTAGTTACTATAAAAAATAGTTTTTGGACATCTTTTTGTTAATATGACTTTTAGATTTAAGATTTTTATATTTATATTTAATATTTTCATTTTAACTATTTTAAAAAATATACGTTGAATTTTTAAAACTTTATTTGATATTTTAGTTTAGGTTTTAGTTTGTACACTATATTTTTAAGTTTATTTAATATATTAATTTAGGTTATGTATTTAACACTATACTGAAGTAAAAAAATTTAGCATATCATATTTGATAATTCAATAAATATTTCATTTATGATAATGTAATAAATTAAGTAAATTACATGAAAATATGAAAAGTTAGAGTTTCAAATTGATGTGGTGAAAGGAAAAATGATTTCTTTATAATATAGTATGATATGATATAGATATAAATATAAATATAGATATATAGATATAGATAAATTATAATATGAATAAAAAGCTAAAATGGTTTTAAATAAATAAATTACAAACAAAAGTCCCGCCGCTATGTGTAACAGATTGTTTACTAATATTTGTAATATAACTATTTTGTGAATTTGTTAATTTGTTAATATTGCTTGGCTGAAGATTCTTGGGGTTCCCTTGGAATTTTGGGATGAAGATAATTTCTTACTTAATTGGAAGCATGTTGAGTAAGGTTATAAACCCATTTGATTCAATCTCAAGTATAAGGGACTATTCCACGGGGAAGGTTGGGATCCTAACAGCAAGAAGAACATGGATTAATGAAGAAGTTATAATTGAAGTTAGTAATATGAAATACAGAGTAGGTGTGGTGGAATACACAGAAGATTGGTCACCATTCAAACTCGCCCCCTTTGATAAAGTAGAGGAATCCGAAGATGAGGAAGAAGATTATGAAGGGATTTCAGAAACATTGATAGATGGAGAAGAAAATGAACCAGAAGACGGCGAATTCCGACCTGATCAAACTCAGGTGTTCATGGCAAAGGAACCAACTACAGAAGCTCAGATCAATTCCGGCAAAACGAAGCCGGCGCGGGTAAGTGACACTCACACTGATGAATCGTTGGGCACAACTATCAATCCTACAGTTAATGTCGTTGCCCCTCCGAAAGTATTGGGATCGATTGAAATCCCCGATTCCACAACCCCTGCATCACAGTCATTTAAAGCTACCTTTGTTTCCTTTGTGGACCCTAATTCGTCTTTTGGGCCTAGGAAAAATCCTATCCTTGGGCCAATTGAAAATTTGTTCCCCTTTGGGTGTTTTGGACCATTCCCAACAAATAATGGCACTCCTATATTCTCGTTTACTTCTAAGCAGGAAAAAAAAATGAATGCACATTTGATCGTGATTCAAATGGTGGTAGTCCTAAACCTAAAAAACGTAAGTGGGATAACGTGCGATTATGCACAAATTAAACCCCTTCATTCCATTTTAAATTAGGCCACACACAAATAAACGATGAAACCACCATTGGGTCTCGGTTAAATCTAGACAATCCCACATCAACTAGCCTTGACTTAAACTTGAACATGAATTCAACCAATTTGAAACCAATGGATATACCTGAAACTAGTACATTGGACTCCCACTCAAACGAAATCGAGCAAACAGTAGAGATTGGGGCGGAAATCGGCTTCCAAAGTGATGCGAGCAATGGAATTCTTGCGGAAATGCTTGGAGTTACCGGTGAGCAATAGCGTATCCAATGAATTGTCTGTCCCTGAATGTAAGAGGCATTGGGGTGGATGTAAAAGTGAATTAGGTGAGGAAGCTACGCAATTTCCGCAAATCTAATTTCATAGGGCTTCAAGAAACAAAACTGTCTCATCATGAAAACTTAGACATAGCTGCTTGTTGGGGAGATCAATATTATGATTACGAAGTTGTTGACTCAAACGGGAGATCTGGAGGGTTAGTCTCATTATGGAACATTAACTGTTTTTAGAAAAAAAGAAGTAATAAAATCTAATCAGTTTATCATTATCGTTTGAACTTGGATTAGCATCAATGGAGATACAATTCTTGCTAATATTTAGGGGCCACATGACATTGGTGATCAGAAAATCTTATGGAGGAATCTGAACTCAATTAAAAGATTAAAACCAGGCAACTGGGTTTTATTTGGTGACTTCAACGCAATTAGGAGGAGAGATGAAAGAGTCAACTCTATATTTTTCCCGACGAGTGCATCCGCTTTCAACAAATTCATTCAAGACGCGGAGCTTAGAGACTTTAGCATGGGTGGCGAGAAATTCACATTTATGGCTAGAGTAGGTGCAAAACTTAGTAAATTAGACAGGTTCCTCGCATGTGTAAACTTTCTTAATGCTTTTCCATCAATTGTGGCCACTACACATACCCGTGAACTATCAGATCACAACCCGATAACTTTGATATCCCAAGACACTAACTTTGGACCACCTCCATCTAAACTATTCAACTCATGGATTCTGAAGGCTGGATTTGATAATATAGATTATATGGAGTGGGAAAGTTTTGAAGGGTATGGTAGTCCAGACTCGTATGTGGTTGCCAAACTCAGGTATCTGAAAGGGGAGATAAAAAAATGGAAGAAGCAATCAAATAAGATAGAAAATCAAGAAATACTACGAATCAAAGATGATGTTGCACAAATCGAAAGGTTTGCGGAATCTAGAAAGCTAACTGAGACTGAGCTCACGACACGCAGTCAAGGACTTCAAAGAATCCTAGAATTAGAAAAAATAGCGATATTAGACCTGAAACAGAAATCTCGAGTCAAATGCGCTATGGAGGGAGATGAAAACACTAAGTTCTTTCACGGCTATATAAATGGAAAAAGTAGAAGGAGCAACATCAATGGGTTGATGGTAAACGGCAGATGGACTACTTTTGTGGCTGAAATCAAGGGTGAAGCTCTACGATTCTTTAAAAATAAATTCATCAAGACTCATGTTTCAAGGCCCAAGTTCACTAGCTCGTTCCTGAAATCAATCTCCATGATGGATGCAATCAAGTTAGAAGCACCATTTAGTCTTGAAGAAGTGAAAGTTGTTGTATAGGCGTGTGGTGGTGAGAAAGCACCTGAACCTGATGGATTCACGTTTAAATTCATCAAAACGTACTGGGATACTCTGAAGTGCGATGTGATGATCTTTGTTTTTCACTTCGACAAATTTGGAACCATTTCCAGGGGGTGCAATTCGTCATTCATATCATTTGTACCCAAGGTAAAAGACCCTTCCTCTCTATTTGAATTTATCAGCCTCATTAGTTGTATGTACAAAATTATCTCGAAGATCTTAGCTACACGCCTCAAGAAGGTCATAGGCAAGGTTATTAGTGAAGTCCAGTTTGCATATGTTGAAGGTAGGAACGTTCTTGATGGTCTGTTGGTGATCAATGAGTTATACTCATGGGCTAAGAGAGTGAAAAAGAAAATTCTGCTTTTCAAGGTGGACTTTGAAAAATCATTTGACTCAAAATAATGGGGTTATCTTGATTCTATTGTTGAACAAATGGGTTTTGGGAATAAATGGAGGTTTTGGATTCGTAGATGCTTACATTCTTCTCGCACCTCGGTTATCATCAATGGTTCTTCGACTGATGAGTTCGAGATCTCAAAGGTGTTCGTCAAGGTGATCCTCTTTCCCTGTTCCTCTTCATCATAATAATGGAAGGACTGAACACGGCTTTGATGGAGGCTAGAGATAAAGGGATCTTTAACGGTGTTCAATTACCTAACAATGGGTCCATTCTCACTCATATGTTTTACGCTGACGATGCATTGTTTGTGGGTGAGTGGTCTAGATCCAATCTCAAAAGCTTGGCTCGGATCTTAAGGTGTTTTCACGCTGTGTCTGGATTAAAGGTAAATTTTCACAAATAAAGAGTATTTGGAATAGGTGCATCAGCAAATGAAACCTTGAATTGGGCCAGCATCCTTGGCTATGAAGTGGGTTCCTTTCCCTTTACATATCTTAGGGTACCTATAGGAGAAAATATGAATCTTATAAAAAATTGGAAACCGATTATTGATAAATTTTCAGCCAAACTGTCTTCTGGAAATCTAAGACTTTGTCATTTGGTGGGAGATTGACATTGATCACTTCGGTGCTAGGAAATTTACCTACTTATTTCTTTTCCTTATTCATGGCACCCATCGCTATCACAAAGACATTGGAACGAATACGAAGAATGTTTTTGTGGGGGGAAACAGAAGGCAAAAAGAAGATCCACTGGGTCTCATGGGATAAAGTCATTACTCCAAAAATCAGAGGGTGGGTTGGGTGTGGGGCCAACCAGGGCATTAAACATCGGCCTAATTGTTAAGTGGTGGTGGCGTTTGAAAGTAGATGGAGACGTACTATGGGGTAGGGTCATAAAAAGCATCCATAATCTATATGATAAACCTCATAATTATATGGCTAATAGAAAGATTAGTGGGGTATGGAACAATATTGTGGCGACAAAAAAGGACCTACAAAAAAATGGGGTTGAACTCGATGACATATTCAAACTAAAGGTTAAATCTGGTGTCAATACGTTATTCTGGATAGACAAATGGATTGGTTCGATGGCGTTAAAAATAAAATATCCTTCTCTCTATGCTCCTGATTCTAGGAAAAAGTGTATTATGGCTGACAGATTTTTTGAAGGTTTTTTTGCAGGTCATTGGCGGTCATGTCCTCACGAAGCAGGTCTAACTTCAGAGCTCAATAACCTCCGGAACGATCTATCTTCAGTATAGCTAGTTAATGGAGCTGACATGTGGGAGTCCTCCTTGGATAAAGATGGAGCTTTCAAAGTATGTGATATAAGGTGGAAAGTTGATGGTCAATATCGAATAACTCAGAATATTCCCACAATCAAATGGAGCAAGGAAGTCCCAATCAAGGTTAACTACTTCTTATGGTGAGCAATTCAACAGAGGATTGCTTCCATGTCGGGCCGAGAGCTAGAGGTATCGAGACTCAAACTACTATGTGTGGTGCATGCATAAATGAAGAAGAAGATGTCGATCATATTTTGGTAATGTGTCCGTTTGCAAAAAGTGTGAGGGATAAAATCTTCAATTGGTGTGGTATACAGAATCAGTCATTCAATGGCATTGACGAACTACTCCGATTTGCTGCAAATTGGGGGAGGAGCCCTAAAATGAAAGCTAGGTTCCATACCATTTGCTATGGTCTAGTTTGGAAGCTATGGAAATATCGTAACGATCGGATGTTCAATCATGTGTTTATTAGTCGTTCGTATGGTGTAGAGCAAATCAAATCAATTCTATATATGTGGGTTAAATGTAGGGGTAAATGTGTTATCTGTTCATGGGTAGAGTGATCATCATCGTCTTTTTGTATTTGATAACTTTCATATTCTGTTTCTGTTGTTTGTTTTTTCCCCCTTGATAGTTAGATACTAGTCGCGGGTTTTTATTTTTATTAATAATATCTGCCGTCTCCAAAAAATCACTCTGTAGAATGAATACCATAATTATAATTAAGTGGAGTAATATACTTTTACGTTTGAATGGCGCGATATTTTATAACTTAATGCTTAAAGTTAGACAGATTATTATATGCCAATCATGCATGCCATAACATTTAAATACTAATGCTAACGCTAATGCTCCTTCACCTTTTCACTTCCATTGGCTTATCATTTGCTGCATGTCTTCAATATTTATTTATAAAAGACTTGTTAGTGCTTACTTGTAACTTGAAACAACTAGCTAGCCTTATATTTCTCATTTCCTTTTCACTATAATTTTTAATCTGAGATTTTATGAATATACTAATACCAATTTCGAACTCAAGAAACAAAGATTGAGTTTTCATACCCAAATGTGTATGTCTTTGGATATATGTCTTACCTTGAATTTACAATACGAACGGTTAAAACTTGGATATATGTCTTTGGAAGAGGCACTCCAAATTTCTTGTTGATCCAACGCTTAATTCTCCGGGGATCGTCAAAATACTGCTATAAGGTCTTCAAAAACAGGAATTCTGAATATTCTTGAACTTGGAGCCGTTTGCTTTTACATGATTGAAGTCTTTCTTAGTGAGTGGCTAGGGTTTTAAGTTTTATATTAGTATATGTTCCTCATTGGCTTACTTTGATCCTCATACTTTAAAAGATTTACACCTAGGTCTTCCTCCTTAACTCCTTAGCAAACTTAATATTTTTTTATTAATGTTATCTCTTTCTAACTCTTTATAAATAACCTTGTACAAACTAATATGATTCCTTTAATTCATATTAGTACTTTCAACTCAAAAATAACAACCCTTAACATTATAAATCAATTTCTCCGATAATTAACGACTTTAAATTATAAAACGGAAAATGGCGCGTTACATATAGAGTGTTTGGTGAATCTCTATGAAAAATATACTTGTAACCTCTGTTTGTAAGCTCTGAAATAAAAATACTCCCATTCTGTCTGTGGACGTTGGTCA